GGGAGCAGGCGGCCGAGGCCCCGGCCGCGCCCCGGGTGTCGCCGCCGCCCGCCGACGAGGATGAGGCCGTCCGGGATTTGGAGCTCGAGCGCTGGGAGGAGGACGAGGGCAGCGAGGGCAGCGCGGGCCGCGGCGCGGGGCGCAGCCTGGCGCGGATCGAGGGCGACGGCGAGCTGGGCGAGGAGGCCGAGGAGTGGTCGGAGGAGGTGCGGCGGCAGCAGGAGCAGCAGCTGCGCGCCGAGCTCCTGGAGCAGTACCGCGCGCTGCTGCTAGAGCGCGCCCGCTACCAGCGCTACAACGCGTACCTGCAGCACAAGGTGCACGACTCGCTGCGCAGGAAGCAGGGCCTCGAGGCGGCGGCCGAGGCGGCCGAGAGGGCCGAGCCCGAGGCGCCGGCGAAGGAGCAGGCCTACCTGCGCCACCTGGCTTTGCTGGAGGAGCTGAAGAAGCAGGAGGCCGACGACCTGGCCTGGTACCACCAAGAGCTGGCCCAGCTCAAGCAGCAGTGCCAGGAGAAGGTCGCCCGGGTGGAGAAGGCGTGGCACTCCTTCCAGGCCCTCAAGAAGCAGGTGGTGCTGCAGGCCACGGGCCGCTGCCGGCTGCGCGGCGGGCGCCAGGCCGCCCTGCGCGAGGTGGAGCAGATGCAGGCGCTGGAGGGCCGGAGGGAGGAGGAGATGAGCGCGGTGCGGCTGGAGAACGTGCAGCTGAAGCAGAGCCTGGTGCACCTGGAAACCAGGATGCGGGCCCAGGAGGACCTGACGGAGGGCCTGCTCCTCATCGACTTCGAGCAGCTGAAGATCGAGAACCAGACCTTCAACGAGAAGGTGGAGGAGCGCAAGGAGGAGCTCCTGAAGCTGCACACCAAGGTGACCAGCCACGTGCAGACTCTCACCCACGTGAAGGAGAAGCTGCACTTTGTGCAGACGGAGAACATGGCCAAGAAGTCGCGGCTCCTGGACATGGAGCTGCGCGTGGCCCGGAAACGCGACGTCCTGACCAAGACCAAGCAGGCCCGCGACAGCCTGCGGCTCGACAACATCAGGCTGAACCACAGGTGTGGGCTTCTGGGCAAGGACTCGCTCCTCCTAGACATGGAGCGGAAGGCGGAGCAGACGGAGCTGCTCACCCGGCGCCTGGAGTCCCTGAAGCGCCACCACGCGGGGCTGGCTCTGTCCTGCAAGGGGATGAAGGAGAAGATCAGGGAAGCCAAAGCCTTTCTCCCCTAGTGCTGCGACAGATGCGAGAAGCCGGGGTTAGCCCCCTCCCGTAACTCGGAGTCTCCACTGGTCATCGGTCTTTCAAAGGCTTAGGAGGTTTGGGGCAGGTCACTGCTATGTTCTTACATCATCATTTCTCACCTCCAGATCCATGCTGAGCACAAAATCGAGTAGCCAAGAGTTCTGTATAGGGTTAGGGGAAATGGGTCCAGAACCCAAGCACGGGGTTGGGTTGATCTGTGAGTGCTCACAGGAAGATGCCAGAAGCCCTGCTCTCTGGAAGCAGTCCATCCTCCCCGTGGCCCAGCATGAAGGAGCACTTCTTCCACAGGAAGAAGGGTGTGCAAGCTCATGAAAGAGGTGGGGACCCCCCCC